CTTCATCAGTGTCTGGACCAGGGTGTTGGCTTGTTTCTGAGGGAGGGAGGGAGACAGAGAGGGAGGATGTGTCAGTGCTCAGTCTTTACAGGACGGTTCTGTTGGATCCATGTTGGAGACCACAGAAACCAGACCAACAAAATATGAAAACACAAAGGATTATGGGTACAACTGCTACACATTGGATCCAGAAAATTAAAACCTATAAATTCCTCTGTGCGAAAAATAAAACTCAAACAGTCCCTGAAAAGTTCCAGGGTCTCAGGAAGAATCTCTCTCTCTCTGACCTTGATCTTGTTGCTAGCGGTGCTCGGACGCCCCCGTTTCTCTGCCTCCAGGTTCTCAGGGAACAGTCCTTGGATGAATTGACTGGACACAAACACAGCACAACCGTGAGGTCACCATGAGGTCATCACAGCTGTGTGATGTCACGTCACGGTTACTTACAACTCACTGCTCTGCATCAGCTCGATGATGTCGCTGAACAGCACGTCTCTGTTCCGCTCGCAGAACCCGCTGACATCGTACGACACCTGCGACGGTCAGACAAACTCAGGGTGGTACTACAAGTGTACTGCAAATGTAGACGAGCTGTATTTATGTCGTAAAATTTGGTTTGTACACATTTAATGAAGTGTTAATGAAACACACAAATCCAGGTGTACCACCCATGTACCTTGCCTGCGTAGTGGTGAACTACGAATCCTTTGTTCCAGCTGCTGAAGTGTTCGTGGGAACCGATCTGTCCCTGCAGCTTCTGCAGCAGCGTCTGGTCCGCGCCCTCACCTTTGGCATGCATGGTGGCACAGACGTCATCCAGGACACTCATTATACCAACAGGATTCTGGGTAATTGTGAGAAGGATTATAGGAACATGTCCATAAAGAAAAACTTGTTAACTGGTTAACCTTCTTTGGGATTGGCTGACTCACCAGTTTAGACTCGATGAGGTCACAGACCACCTTGTTGTTGAAATACTCAATGGGCTTCCATTTGATTCCCTCCTGGACGTATTCTTCCTGATTTGAAGAAACGTGATGGAGATGAGTGCATGATGAAGGACAAAACAATCAGCGTGAAGACAGACGAGCCAAGCTCAAGTACCGGGACGTGGTGATGTCACCATGACTCACCTGTTCCGCCTTCAACGTTAGCTCGATAAAAATCTGCTGCAGCTTCTCGTTGACAAAGTTGATGCAGAACTGTTCAAAGCCGTTTTTCTGGAAGACAGTCGTGAACCTCAGTCAATCAATGGACTAATCGATCAACAACACCATCAACAAAAACCAAAAAAATAAAAATCAGCAACAATCATTTCAAGAACCTATGGAAAACCCAGCTTGTCTGTGGAGATTATTTCAAACGTATCAAAAATGGTTCTGGAACCTCGTGACTTTTTCTGAACTTGAAAATGTATCCAGGACTGAATCTCTAACAACAAAACGTTCTTAAGAAGGTCAGGAAGACATTACTGTTCTGAGTTCACACGGCAGTAAGAAGGTTCCAGGATGTTTCAGGAGGTTTATGAGAAATAAGGAAGGTTCTGGAAATTAAGGACTCCAGAGAGAATCCAGGATATTTACCAATTTCTCAGACCTGGTTCAGAGACATTTTCAGTCGTTCTTACCTGAAAGATCTCAAAGCCATAGATGTCCAGGACTCCAATGTTGAGCACCTCCTGGTCCTTCTCCATCGCTTTATTAATACACTATAACACACACACACACGAACACAAGCAGGCATCAGTAGAACACAACCACACGTGCAGGGACATTGAACAGTGCAGTTGGACTGACGTTGACCAGGTAGTTAAAGAGCCGGTTGTACAGGGCCTTGGACAGGGCGTCTCTGGAGAAGGACGCCTGCTCTGTGTTCAGAGTGACAGAGATGGACTCCGTCTTCCCGCCCCACTTACTGTCCATCACTCTGCTGGTCAGTTTACTGCACAGACCTTCCTGAGGGATTCCCAGCAGGAAGGCTGGGAACGCCAGGACTGAGAGATGGAGACAAAGACAAAGACATTGGTGTGAGACAAGTTTGATGTTAAGGTCATAGGTTCAAGTCCCTGTGCCTCCAAAGAAGGAGGGAAGTCTCCGTTACTCACAGTCTTGGCTCTCGACTACAGCGTAGTTATTTTCTTCTCTGAAGCTGATGTTTCCCAGGTGAAGGATTCCTGCGATGATCTGAAGAACGGAATCCTGGTCCTCAATGGACAGACCTACCACTGACATGGCTGCCTGAGAGACAGACAGGTTCACTAATGACGGGTTGACAGACAGACAGAGACAGACAGGTGGAGACAGACGGGCACAGACAGACGGGCACAGACAGACGGGCAGAGACAGACGGGCAGAGACACACAGGCAGAGACAGACAGGTGGAGACAGACAGGCGGAGACAGACAGACAGAGACAGACGGGCAGAGCCAGACGGGCAGAGACACACAGGCAGAGACAGACAGGTGGAGACAAACGTGCAGAGACAGACGGGCAGAGACACACAGGCAGAGACAGACAGGTGGAGACAGACGGGCGGAGACAGACAGACAGAGACAGACGGGCACAGCCAGCCGGGCACGGACAGACGGGCAGAGCCAGACGGGCAGAGACAGACAGGCGGAGACAGACAGGCACAGACAGCCAGGCACAGACAGACGGGCACAGACAGATGGGCAGAGACAGACAGGTGGAGACAGACAGGCGGAGGCAGACAGACAGAGACAGACAGGTTCACTAATGACGGGTTGACAGACAGGCACAGACAGACAGGCAGAGACAGACAGGTGGAGACAAACGTGCAGAGACAGACGGGCACAGACAGACAGGCAGAGACAGACAGGTTCACTAATGACGGGTTGACAGACAGACAGAGACAGACAGGTGGAGACAGACGGGCGGAGACAGACAGACAGAGACAGACAGGGGGAGACAGACAGGGGGAGACAAACGGGCAGAGACAGACAGGTTCACTAATGACGGGGTGACAGACAGACAGAGACAGACGGGCACAGGCCGACGGGCACAGACAGATGGGCAGAGACAGACAGGTACCATGGTGTCTTGAAACTCTTTCTTGTCGTTCACGTCATCCACAGTATACGTTCCTGACTGGTTGAGGTAGTAGTAGTAATCAGGGGTCGTGACCCCTAAGTTCTCTCTCTGCTCCCCACTGGCTCCTTCCAAAAGCTGAGGTCAGAGGTCACAGAGCTTTTAGACACACACTGTTACTACGCCTGTATGTCATTAATACAGTAAATAGTAATTGATGTAGTCTTATAATGTAGTACTTCTGCAGTACCTGGTAGTAGATGTGGAAGTTCCTCTCTTGGGAATTCTGGGAAACAACTCGACTCTTCTCCAGGAGGAAGTTGGAGATCTTTCCTCCATCAGGGGCCCCTCCACGACTGAACTGGATCTCAAAGTATTTGCCCTGATGACAGACGTGTGTTGGTTAACATTGGTACGTTAGTGTGTACTAGTAGACGTGTGTTGGTTAACATTGGTACGTGAGTGTGTACTAGTGTGTATATTAGTGTGTACATCAGAGTACACGCTGGGTTCTCACTCACGAAACGACTGGAGTTGTTGTTGCGGACCGTCTTGGCGTTACCAAATGCCTCCAGCAGGGGGTTGGACTGAAGGATGATGTCTTTCACATGCTGCAAACACACACACACACACAGATGGTCAGTCATTTCTGACTGGACTGTTACCTCCACAGTAGTACTGAGTACTGACCTGTACTTTGTCTCCTCCTCCTGACACCTTGGACACGTAGCTCATTATGAATTTGGCTGCGACAGTTTTTCCAGCTCCACTTTCTCCACTGAGAGATCAGAGGTTTCAGCCATAAATGTTAAAAAACAAAAACAAAAAAGACTGAGCGTCACTTCCACCAATAGGATCTCGATTTAAAATAACATGAACAGTGTGAAGCCCCGCCCACCTGATGATGACACACTGGTTCTCGTTGTCTATCATCATGTTTCTGTACACGTTGTCGGCCAGAGCGTAGATGTGGGGTGGGTTCTCATACTGGGCCTGTGGGGTGGATTGGAGTGAGGGGCCGTTTGTGATGTCATCAATTCAGACCTGGAGTTCAAAGGTCACAGATTGTTATCTTACCGCGCCCTGGTACAGCTCCACCTCTCGGTCTGTGAAGTAGGGAAGCTGTTTAAACGGATTCACTGAGATCAGGACTGGACCGATGTAGGTCTGACAGGGGCAGGGTCAAGGACAGAACCAGAACCAGGACTAAGTACTGGACAATGTATTTACATGTAATGGTAAAGTCTAAGTTTGATGTTTTTTGATAATCTGAACCAAAGTCA